GGAAGGAGAAAGCTTTTAATTCCTGCTCAAGTCTTAATTCACGATGAGGTGAGTGGTGTATACCGTGAAAAGAAAGGACTCTGGTTAGGTATAGAATTAGAGACCAAAAAGAGAGTGTGGGATTACTTTGCCAAAAGCCCACGTATTGCGAGAGAGATAGAGAGAGAGAGAGAGAGAGAGAGAGAGAGAGAGAGATTGAAACCCAGATGATGTTAAGTCTTCTTGGTGGTGACAGTCCCTTGCTCATTGTCTCTGCTATCTGGCACGTAGAGTTGTGGAATTATTAATGAATGATCTCAGGCCACTCAGGTGTGTCTCTGGGTCAGAGCTAGGGCATGCAGCTAGTTACTGTCTGTAGTGTTGCTGGCTTTAGTGACCATTCCTGGTTCTGTTCATGAGGGGAGAGTAATCTCAATGGAGGATGCATACAGGAATTGCCCGAAGGCTTTGCGGAGGGCTGGCTTCCGGTCAACAAGACAAGAGGACATGGCTGGGACCCTGGCAGTTATTTGGATTGTTTGTAAAGCTTCTCATTGTTTGTTGGTCTGGGGCCATACCTGCTAGTGTTTGGGGGCTGCTCCTAGCTCAGTGCTCAGCGGAATCATGTGGTGCGGGATTTCTGGTATGCAAAGCAAGTTCACCAGCCCTTTGGATGATCTTCCCCAACTCATGAATTTTAACCCATTTTAATAATCTTCTGGACCACTCTGGGGTGAAACTCTAAACTTCTTGTCACTAATGTTGGATCTAAAGGGAACATAATAGGAAAAATTCACACCTTGTTTATGTTATTTGTAGGTGATTTATGTTCTTTCCCCAGTTCGTTCCTTGTTGTGCTGGCTTTGTTGTGAACCGCAATGAATAGAGAGACAGCTCAGGATAGGAGAGTGAGTTTATTAGAGGCTCAGCATTGAGGATCCCAAATCAGAAGAGAATGAGACTTGGATCCCCATTTGCTGAGAGGGTCCCTCTCTCTCTTTTTTCTTTTTTTTATTTTTGGGTCTCATCTGGAGATACAAAGGGGTTCCTCCTGGCTCAGCACTCACGAATTACTCCTGGCAGTACTCGGGGGACCATATGGGATGCTGGGAATCGAACCTGGGTCGGCTGCCTGCAAGGCAAACACCCTCCCCGCTGTGCTATCGCTCCAGCCTGAGAGGATCTCTCTTTTATCCTTTAAAGGTGGGCTACACTCTACATACATTCTTATCAGTGAAACAGGGGACACAGAGGTAATAAGTAAAAGAAAAATAAGCAATGCATCATTCCCACATGGTCCGACCTTCAGGTGCTCAAAGAAAAACAATCAATGTCAGTATTTCTCGCCCATTTTTGGTGCAGCCTTCAGCTACCATCTCCTGGGCACTCCCATAAATCTGTCGGGCCCAGTGTGCTCCCATCAATCTGGTGGGCAGGTGGGCCCTTAACTCAGTTAATTGGGTCATAAAAGGAATGCTTCTCCCTCCCTTCTCTTGTTTAATGTAGGGGTCAGTTTCAGTTTCCCAGAACCCATCCTGTTTCCTTAATTTTCGTGACAGTTCCACAATTCTCATTACATACAGCTTCTTATTTGTCATTACACTCTCGAAGGCAAGGTTTATGTCTTCTTGCTTCTCTATCCCAGCGGCTCTTAAATGATCACAGTCACTTGTGAGGGCTGATGAAAATTTCTGAGTGATAGCATAGCGGTAGGGCAAGCTACCGAGAGTATCCCGCCTGCATGGCAAAGCCTGGCAAGCTACTGAGAGTATTCAATATGCCAAACACAGTGACAAGAAGTCTCACAATGGAGATGTTGCTGGGCCCACTCGAGCAAATCGATGAACAACGGGAGGACAGTGACAGTGACAGGTTCACCCTGAAATATCTGAAAATATCTATGATGTTGGGGTAAAACTGAGAATCTGCATTTTTTGTGGGTTAGAGAGGAGGACCTTGAGCCAAAGCCAGCGATCCTCAGGGCTGACTCCTGGCTCTGGGCTCAGGGGAAACCCCCTGGTGGTACTTGGGGGGAACCACATGGAGTACCAGGGATTGAACAGGGGTCAGCTGAATACTCTCCAGCTCTAAAGTGTTATTTTCTTTGAAATGTTACTGTCACTGTCACTGTCCTCCCGTTGTTCATCGATTTGTTCAAGCAGGCCCAGTAACGTCTCCATTGTGACAGTTGTTACTGTGTTTGGCATATCGAATACGTCACGGGTAGCTTGCCGGGCTCTCAGAAAAGGGTGGAGGAATCGAACTCGGGTTGGTCGCGTGCACAGCAAATGCCCTACCCGTTGTGCTATCGCTCCAGCCCTATGAACTGTATGGAATTCGAAGTATTCTTGGTCCCCCCGACCCTGACCCCAGAGAACAGTGCAGTGGAATGCAGTTGACCAGCTGAGCGCGAAAGCATTTCCCTCACAGTTTCTGCTTTTTCTGCCATGAACTACGACCCAGACTCTGGAGGCTTTATTCACATATTTTCAGCCCCCACCACTTTTCAGCTGTGTGCCTTCTATAGGGGACACGTTTGCATTCTGGGTAATCAACAGTTTAAACTGCTTTGGCATTTTTACTTCATGGTAAACCACTTTTATCTATTTTGGCTTTTGTTTTCAGTCAGCTGATTTTTCCCTGAGGGTGCAAGGGATCTGGATTTTATAGTCTCTGAGTCTTGGCCGCTGATGGGATTACAGAGACTAAAAAATCCAGATCCCGGACGAGAACAGTGCAGTCTTTTGCCCCCGTGCCTGGGTGTCCCTCGCCGGGACCCCTTGGAGGGGAGCGGGTTGAGCTTTCCTCCCTGCCCCGACCGGGGCTCCGGCAGCTGAAGACCTCCAGGACCAGCCACCACCATGCTGAGACCACTCTCCGCACACATGAAGGTACTGGCAGAGGGACAAAGCCACGCGGGTTCCGGGGCCAAGACCTCCAAGCCTACTGGGTTTGGAGTCGAGCATCTTCCATCCAGATCCTCCAAATTCCAGCAGGCGGGGGTCACACCCACCACCTGGCCCCCTGGCGCCGTGTAATCCCATCAGCAGCCAAGACTCAGAGACTATAAAATCCAGATCCCGGAACCGCGCGGCCGCATTTGCGGCTGCGCAACATCTTATCAGAGCTTTTTTTTTTTTTTTATGACATCTTATTATCTCATTCCTACTTTGGACATACTTGCAGGCTATCGAATGTAGCCTGCCCACAGGGCAGAGTCTGGCAAACTCCCCGTGGCGTACCAAATATGCCAAATACCAGTAACAATGATGGGTCTCATTCTCCTAAAGAGCCGTGAATATAATCTCAGGGCTAGGATGAAAGAGACGTTACTGGGGCCTGCTCGAGGCAATCGACGATTAACAGGATGATGAAATGAAATGAAATGGTGCAAGGGAATGATATCTTTATATAGCTACCTATTTGTAGAGATTTATGTGTATTTATTTGTTTTTTTGTTTGTGGACCACACCCATTGGTGCTCAGGGACTCTTCTCAGCATGGTGCTCAGGGGTTACTCCTTAAAGTGCTTGGGAACCATGTGATGCTAGGAACCAATGTCAGGCCTCTTGTATACAAATAATGTGCTCCAACCCATTGAGCTATTTCTTTCCACCCATCATTGTGTGTGTATGTGTGTGTTGTTGTGTGTGCTTATGCGTGTGTGTGCGCATGTACTTATTTGTGTAGTTTTTAAAAAAAATTTTAAAAAGTAAAATATCCTGAACAGAATGAACACATAGATTTTCCTGAGGAAGTTAGGTTCTTATTTTGCCTGTTTGGTATTGGAGGCTGAATGCAGGGCTGTTTTTTTTTTTTCCTTCATTTTTGGTTGTTTTTGTTTTGTTCTCATACCCGGCAGTATTTAGGTCTCTATGATCAGGGATCACTCTTGGTGGAGTTTGGGCGACCATATAGGGCCCCAGGGATAGAACCTGGGTTGACTGTGTGCAAGGCAAGTACCCTACCTGCTGTATTATTGCTCTTGCCCCGTGTGTGTGTGTGTGTGTGTGTTTACCACACCCAGTGATGCTCAGGGTTACTCCTGATTCTGAACCATGAATTATTCCTGGCAGGGACTCAGGGACCATATGGGATGTCAGGGATTGAATCCAGGTTGGCCGCGTGCAAGGCAAACACCTGACACATTGAACTATCTCTCTGGCCTTGTGTTTTCTCATGGTCACACCTTGTATTAGAGCAATGCTCTTCATTGATGTTGCTTTGAAACCATCAAGTTAGAGTCGGATCACAGTTGGTGGTTACTCTGGATTGGCATCATCTTGTTTATCCGCTACCAAATGAGAGAACTGAAGTTTTCCATTGCTACCTTGAGTTTGTTTTCTTGCTTCTAGAATACATTCTTCACTTAGGATAATGCTGAGGGGTGGAGGGGAGGTGGGAGAGATAGCACCAGGGATAAAGCATTTGCTTTGTATGTAGTTGACTCTAGTTCAACCTCTGGACACTCCTGAGTGTATTTCAAAACAGAGGTAGGGTGGGATGGGGGGGATTTGGAGGGGTGGGAGGGATACTGGGATCCGTGGTGGTGGAAAATGGGCACTGGTGGAGGGATGTGTATTTGATCATCGTATAATTGAAACCCAAGCACAAAAATTTGTAAGTCTACAACTGTACCTCATGGTGTCTCACTAATAAAAATAAAAAAAAAAAAGAACAAAAGCATAGTGTGAGAGTCGGGGGTTGGTAGAAAAATGCCACAGACTGATATCATGGTCAGGAGTGACCCTTGACTTAAAAATGGCCTAGTGTATGATCTAGACTAGTCCTAAAGGGGAGAAAGACATTATTGGGTTCCTGACTTCTTATACACGCAAGGATATGACTGTGTTTCCTGACTCTCAAGCCTTCTACAAACCAACACTCCATCAGGGAGAGAAAACACAGATTCAGGTTGGGGATGCAACTTGATGTGGAGAATGGAAAAGTAGCGGAGATAATTCATACGCAGGCACAACAGGAAAAGTGTTTCAATCTCCCTCTCTCTTTTTTCCCCATAGGTGAATTTTGTGGCTTGCCAGCTCTTTGCCTTGGTGGCTGCCTTCTGGTTTCGCCTTTATTTAAACCCTGGTAAAAGCAGTCCTGAGGTCCGACACACGTTTGCCACTGTGTTTGGCATCTATTTTGTCATCTTTTGTTTTGGCTGGTGAGTATAAACTCATACATTTTTTCCCCTTCAAACTAAAGAACTGTGATTTACAAAGTTGTTGATAGTTGAGTTTTAGGCATATAATATCTCAACACCAATCCCATCAGCAGTGTCAACTTCCTTCCACCAGTGTTCCCATATTCCTTCCCTACCCCAAACCTCACCCCATTTCCACATGTCAACTGGTCAGGCACATTACAAAATTTCAGTGGTGGCAGCTCAGATCTCAGGTTTTCAGTGTTGTTGAGTCTGTTTTGGATATATGACTATACCACTCACTCCTATCTCCAATATAACTGAAGCCCAGATGGCTGTTCACCCATTACTTCCCCGACCCTCACAAATTCTATAAATTCTCATTTTAATTATCTGGGTGGGTTGAGTTAATTATCTGGGTGGGTTTAATTATCTGGGTGGGTTGAAGCCTCATTCATTGCATTTCCCAGCACTAAGGAAAGAAATACATGCTCTTTAAACTTAATGTAAACTAACCACAAAGGAAATCTCCTTTGATTGAGAGAAACTGGGATCAGTAACCTGTTCACTCAGAAATTATTGTAGCAACTTTTTCTTAAGTTTGGACTTCTGCTGACTTTCACCTGGGTTTGAACTAACCCAGGGACGCACCCTTCTTCCCTGTTTGCGAGAAGGGTGTTTTCTCTTGCATTGAATTTGTGTCCTCGCATTACTGTTCCTTCATAGACTGGGTGTTGGTCTTATAGAGAGAGTGGAACAGTAGCTTTAATGAAACAGATAGAACTTGGGGTTGAGACTTTCCTCTGCTGCATAAGGAAGGCAAATCCCAGGAGTGCTAAGTTAAAGTTCCTACAACTTATGAAATATGTGAATTTTTTAGGGTTCTAAACTGTGGTTCCCTTTCATTCAACTCAAATTTGAGAAAAAATGCAGAGTGCTAGTTGCTAGCAATGGGTAAGGTACTTGCCTTGCATGCAGTTGACCTTGGTTGATCCCTAATATCACATAGAGTTCCTTGAGCAGTAGCACTGTTGTCCCATTGTTCATAGATTTGCTTGAGTGGGCACCAGTAATGTCTCCATTGTGAGACTTGTTGCTACTGTTTTTGGCATATCGAATATGCCACAGGGAGTTTGCCAGGCTTTGCTGTGCGGGCAGTGTACTCTCAATAGCTTGTCGGGCTCTCTGAGAGGGATGGAGGAATTGAACCCTGTGCAATCTGGGGGGATGGAGGAATTGAACCATGTGCAAGGCAAACGTCCTACTTGCTGTGTTATCACTCCAGCCCTTCTTGAACTTCTTGAACAGTACCTTGAATTATCCTCCTTGAGCAGTACCTCGAATCCCAGAGCACAAAACCAAGAGTAAGATCTGAGCATAGTTGGATGTGTCTCCAACACAAAACTAAGTTAGAAGATGAAGAGTACGGAATCAGCCTCCAAGTCAAAGTCTGGGGAATCTGAATTTGGGTTCTGGTCCTTGAAAATTAAGAAAAAGGAAACATCTCTTCTAGTTTTCAATTATTATATGAGAAAAAGAGTCTAAACATTTTGTGCATGGATTCCTGGCACAGATAATGCTACAGTTTTATCTATGGGGGCTTCCTAGTATCAGTCAAGGCAGAGAATTTTAACTCCTTGACTGATTTTTCTCTGACAGAAACTTCAGTCAGTGGATCACTTACTATTTGGACTGGGCGGGAGGTAGAAGTGGCGTAGCAGCAGGATGGGAGATAGAAACATTAATATGAAATATGATCTGTGCCCATGTCTTTCTGCCATACCCCGCAGGTACTCCATACACCTGTTCGTGCTGGTGTTACTTTGCTATGGCGTGTTGGTTACTGCCAGCGTGTCCAATATTCACAGGTAAGGCCCCGGGAATGAATGAAATAGTGGAGAGGTGAAGTATTTTTTTGTCTTTTATGAAATTTCATTTCTACCCATGGGATATTATTTTGAAGATCTCTGGGATATCTAACAGAAGGGCCCTAAAGGTGGGGTGCAAAAGGGTTCTCAGGTGAAAGAGTTCATCAGAATGAGGCAGCTTAGTCTGTGACGACCCACACTGGGTGGGAATCTAGTGTTTGCTGACAGGGAATATGACCCAATAGTGAGAAGGGGTGAGTGATGGAGCACCGCGTCCCATGTGACTAAGTTGAACAGGGTCCCTGAGGCCAAGGGAGAAGGACAACGGGGTCAGGAGGGCTGACAAGCAGTGCTCATGCAGCGTCTTTATTGAACAAGCAACAGACTTTTATAGGCCTCTAGGAGGACGCATACGTTGGAAAAATATACAGGAATGTTCAGGATACATAAGTTTAGAATGTACTGGGCTTCTAGACATCAATGATGTTTTTCTGTAATTACATCGTTTCAGGGCTGGAGTGATAGCATAGTGGGTAGGGCGTCTGCCTTGCACGCGGGCGACCTGGGTTCGATTCCTCCGCCCCTCTCGGAGAGCCCGTCAAGCTACCGAGAGTATCTCGCCTGCACGGCAAAGCCTGGCAAGCTATCCATGGCGTATTCAATATGCCAAAAACAGTAACAACAAGTCTCACAATTTGTTGTGAGACGTTACTGGTGCCCGCTCGAGCAAATCGATGAACTACGGGAGGACAATGACAATGATAGTGACATCGTTTCGATGATACTTTCCTTGCTTATATATTGATGCACCATAGCAACTTGTTCTGCCATAAGAACGAGGAAAGAGCCCGCTAGAAAAACAAGAAAGTCAGCCCTTAGATTGTGTAACCCCCCGGCAATGGTTTCTAATAAACTAGTCTTTAGACAACATCTCCTCAGGACAAGAACTTTCTTAATATTAACTAGCACAGGCTCCCAACATTGAAGTTATACATTGACATGGATGAGCCTTAGAACAAATATACTGAGTGAAGGAAACCAGATATATTCTGTTTTCACAGAGACAGACTAGGGCTGGAGCGATAGTATGGCAGGTAAAGCACTTGCCTCACACGTAGCCAACCCAGCTTTCATCCTTAGTGCTCCATATGGTTCCCTGAGCAGTACCAGGAGTGATCCCTAAGCACAGAACCAGGAGTAAGCCCTGAGCAATGCTGGATGTGGCCCCCAAAGCATAAGAGGAAAAAAAAAGAAATCAAAACGAATCAGAAATGGAACCAGACCTAGGCCTGGGGGACTGGGGGTGGGTTGGGGTGAGTGCTTGGCTGGGATATGCAGAGCTATGGATGAGGACGCAAAAGAGGCCAGAGGAACGTTGGGGTTCATGCCTATGACCTTGAATATGGCTGTGGTTTTCTAGATGTTTCTGTGCCTCCAAACTTAAGTACGTAAAGGGAGAGGAAGTCTCCCCCTAATATTGTTATTTAGAAGTACAGATGTGATCTCATGATTGCCAGTTCGTGCTCAGGAAATCAGCTGAGATGCTAGGCTGCTGGGGTTCACACCTGCTTGCCATGGTCTTCTGCAATCTGCCTCCCAGTAACACGGGAATGTCAACCCTGTGAAAACAAAGGCTTTGCTCTCCCGTTGATGGTTGTATCAGTAAAGCCTAGAACAGTACCTGTCACAGAGAAAGGCTAATACATACTTATGGAACAAATGACTGAGTATCTTTGGAAAGATCTGAAGATTCCCACTTCCAATATCTTTTCCGGCAGCCTCTCTGAAAAATCAGGTGTTTATTTTAGCCTCGGAAAGCTCTTTGACTAATGACACTATAGTTTCCTTTTTTTAATTAATTTTTTAATTTTTTAATGAATCAACATGAAATATACAGTTACAGACTTACAAACTTTTGTGCTTACATTTCAGTCATATAGTGATCAAGTACCCATCCCTCCACCAGTGCCTGTTCACCACCAATGTTCCCAGTATCCCTCCTGCCACCCCCCCATTCCCCCCTCCCCCCGCCTCTCTTTGTGGCAGGCACATTCCCTTTTACACTCTCTCTCTCTCTCTCTCTCTCTCTCTCTCTCTCTCTCTCTCTCTCTCTTTCCTTTTGGGTCTTGTGGTCTGCAATGCAAGTATTGAGTGACCATCATAATCATATTCGGTCTATAGTCTTCTTTTGGCATGCATCTCCCATCCTGAGCGGACCCTCCAAACACCCTTTACTTGGTGGTCCCTTCTCTATCTGAGATGCCTTTTCCCCCAGCATGTGAGGCTGGCTTCCAGGCCGTGGAGCAAACCTTCTGGTACTTATCTCTACTATTCTTGGGTGTTGGTCTCCCATTCTGTTACTTGATATTCCACAAATGAGTGCAATCTTTCTAATTCTATCCTTTTCCTTTTTGGATCCTTGAAATTTTGCTTTTTGGTGTACAGTCATGTCATTACTTACAGCCAATATTTGTCCTTTGGGCCTGAAGAGATAGCATGGTATGTAAGCACTGTTGTCATCCCTGGCACCCCATATGTTCCTTGGAACATTAGCAAAAGAGATTCCTTAGACCAGAGTTGGGATTAAGCCCTGAGTGCTGTTGGGCATGGCTCAAAATCCTAAGCCTCACTCCTCCAATTATTTTATTATTTAAAAAAATTTTTTTTATTAGTGAATCATCATGAGGTACAGACACAAACTTACAAACTTTCATATTTCAGTCATACAATAATTGTGTACCCATCCCTCCACCAGTGCCCATTCTCCTCCACCAGTGTTCCAAATATCTTTTCCCCGCCCCGCCATCTGTGTGGCAGGGCATTCAATTTTGTTTTCTTTCCTTCTGGGTGTTATAGTTTGCAATCGAGGTATCGAGTGGCCATCATGTTTGGTCTGTAGTCTATTTTCGACATCATCTTTCATCCCGAAAGGGTCCTCCCAACATCCTTTACTTGGTGTTCCCTTCTCTGTCTGAGCTGCCCTTTCCCCCAGCATGAGGCCGGTTTCCAAGCTGTGGAGCAGACCTCCTGGTCCTTATCTTTACTACCTCTAGGAGTCAATCTCTCATTTTGTTACTTTATATTCCACAGATGAGTCCAATCTTCCTATGCCTGTCCCTCTCTTTCTGATTCATTTATTTTCTATTTATTTTTTAAATTTTTAATAGTGAGACATCATGAAGTACAGTTACAGACTTACACATTTTTGTGCTTGGGTTTCAATTATACAATGATCAAATACCCATCCCTCCACCAGCACCCATTTCCCACCACCACGGATCCCAGTATCCCTCCCACCCCCCCATGCCCCCCCATCCCACCCTGCCTCTGTGGCAGGGCATTCCCTTTTGTTCTCTCTCTCTCTCTTATTGGGTGTTGTGGTTTGCAAAAGAGGCAATGGGTGACAATCATGTTTGGTCTATAGTCTACTTTCAGCATGCTTCTTCCATCCCGGGAGGATCCTCCCAACACCTTTACTTGGTGCTCCCTTCTCTATCTGAGCTCCCTTTTCTCTTAGCATGTGTGGCTGGCCTCCATGCCATGGAATAAAATTCCTGGTACTAATCTCGGCCATTCTTGGGTGTTAGTCTCCTATTTTGTTACTTTATGTTCCCCAGATGAATGCAATCTTTCTATGTCTATCCCTTTCTTTCTGAGTCATTTCACTTAACATGATACTTTCCATGTAGTACCACTTGTATGTAAATTTCGTGACTTCATCTTTTCTAACAGCTACATAGTACTCCATTGTGTAAATGTACCAAAGTTTCTTTAACCAGTCATCTGTTCTCGGGCACTCAGGTTTTTTCCAGATTCTGTCTATTATAAAGCTATTATAAAGCTGGAGCGATAGCACAGCGGGTAGGGCGTTCGCCTTACACGCGGCCAACATGGCCGACCCGAGTTCGATTCCTCCGCCCCTCTCGGAGAGCCCGGCAAGCTACCGAGAGTATTGGATATGCCAGACACAGTAACAACAAAGTCTCCAATGGAGACGTTACTGGGCCCGCTCGAGCAAATCGACGATCAACGGGAGGGCCTTTACTTTACTTTTACTTATAAAGAGTGCTGCAATGAACAAACAATTGCAGATGTTTCTGACTCATTTAAAGTATCACTTAACATGATACTTTCCATGTTGATCCATTATATGCAAATTTCATGACTTCATTTTTTCTAACAGCTGCATAGTACTCCATTGTGTAGATGTACCAAAGTTTCTTTAACCAGTCATCTGTTCTTGAGCACTCGGGTTTTTCTTTCAGATTTTGACTATTGTAAACAGTGCTGCAATGATCATACGAGTGCAGATGTCATTTCAACTATACTTTTTTGCCTCTCCAGGATATATTCCCGGGAGTGGTATTACTGGGTCAAATGAGAGCTCAATTTCTAATTTTTTTTTTTTTTTGCTTTTTGGGTCACACCCAACAATGTTCAGGGGTTACTCCTGGCTCTGTACTCAGGAATTACTCCTGGCGTGCTTGGGGGACCATATGGGATGCTGGGAATTGAACCCGGGTCGGATGTGTGCAAGGCAAATGCCCTACCTGCTGTGCTATTGCTCCAGCCCCCAATTTCTAATTTCTTAAGAATAGTCCATACTATTTTCCAAAAGGGCTAAACCAGTCGGCATTCCCACCAGCAGTGAAGGAGAGTCCCTTTCTTCCCTCCTCTGTGCCAACACCGGTTGCTTTTGTTCTTTTAGATGTGGGTTATTTTGGTTTTAAAGAGGAAATATTTTTGTTTTAAAGTCACTATTGCTATTATTGTTTTCATTTCCTATCTCCCCTTTCCCTTTATTGTTGTTGTTGCTGATGCTCTTTTTTTTTAAAATTTGTTTTGGGGCCACACTTGGCTATGTTCAGGGCTTACTTCCAGTTCTGTGCTCAGGAGTCACTCCTGGTCATCCTTAGGGGAACCATTTTGGGTGCTGGAGATCAAACCCAGGTTAGCCATGTGCAAGGCAAACACCCTATTTGTTGTACTATTTCTCTAGC